AATTTTGCATGAAAGAGAATTGTTTTCCTGCCTACTCATATTTAATTTTAATTAATGATTATTCTAAAACCTATACCGTGGAATATCTATAAGAATTTGCTAGAAGAAAATTTTGGAAATTCACTCAATAATCAATATTGAATGCGGCCGAGAGATCTCTAATTTGTATCGGATTGTTGGGGATAAAATTCCAGCAATCCGGTAGGGCCCTGCAACTTTGTCCGTGGATGTGTGTATTATCCTTTCGTGGGTGATTTGACGGGACTACACCCTTATTTTTGCTGTCTTCTAATTAAATGGGAAGTTTTTGTTTGCAGCAAAGACTGGTGATTGAATTGCGAATTCAGCGCAAAGTTTAGGTTATGCTTTTCACGACAAGTATGCGAAAGAAGAAGTAGCGCTCTCTATATTCCAATGTTGCTTTTCGAAGAACTTTCCAGAATGTTTCGGGTATGACTTAGAGAGTCTCTCAGAAACACGCACACGCACATGGGCCCCTTCTCCTCGTTCGGATGATGTCATAGTGAGGGCGTGACCACCATGTTTTCGGCTTGGATACGAACTCAGGCCATAGCAGCCAAAATTGCTGCCGCCAACGACTCAATCGAAAACGTTAGCCCAGCTAAGTCACCTGGGCGAACTGTTCCTGCAAACGCCCATACTGTAAATATCGACCGTGCTGAATTGGATATCGATCAAGTCACTGAAGTCAAAACGGATTGGACGAAGAAGTGTTGGAAGAACCCAAGCGAAATAAGGAGCAAGAAATTACGCAAGCAAGGGTAAGCTGGTCCTACTTGACGCTAATTACTCAAAAACATAAATTGTAATCAAACCACTAGGTTTTTACATATTAGATACCCGTGACTTTTTCTACGGTTTTTCCATCATATTCCGAAATTTAGGGCAACTCTGCTTCAAAAGCGCTCCCTGTGCTTTACAGAATCACTCGTCGTTTCCTTTTGTATTTATATCCATACATATGGAGACTGCCGGGCCTCGTCCTGATAGAACCGCTACTCTTAACAGATACCCTGCTATCCAAAGCTGGTATAGCTTGCAAAAGAAGTGATTTGTCAGCAAGATGTGGTCAAGATGATAATGATAGCTCCAAACCGTTGATAACAGTAATGTCATGCTTAAAGAGAATGTTGAATTTGTTCAGGACACCGATTGCTTTCCCTAGAATTGGATCGAAACTCCAGGAAATTCTATTTGTTATTCAATATTCAAAAATGACCTTGGAAGTATTGAACTATATTATTTGTGAATCACAAAACATCTTTTTTACTCCCGACAACTGCTGCCCCAACGACAAAAAAGGTACTTATTCGAACTGACAATTCAGAATTCATACGTACTGTTAAATATAGTTCGGAACTGATTCAAGCTTTGCCTTCCATATCTGCAAAGCGTTTCTCTGGAAGACGTTATGCCGCACCTTTCACCAAAATGGTTCATCAAATTTGAACAAAATGTCTCCAAAATCCACCTTCGTCCCAAATCAGCACCGCAAAATCTGAATATCATTAATGTATCCATCATGTAACGACCTTCTGGGTTGTTAATTGGGGTTGAAGGGATGTTTTAAAGCATTTGTATGGCCGCAAATTTTCGATAGAGAAAATCTTCTATAGCTTTCTCTAGGTAAACGCTCAGCAGATAAGGAAAGCAGATTTGGAATCAACGTAAGCTACAGCTCATACTATGTACTCACTTTGTGTCGCCATTTTGACTTAATATCCTTCTCTCTTAAATTTTAAACTAACTTAAAAGTTGCCTGCACTTATAATTTCTTTTTCTTACCATTGCTTAAGATAGACTGGTTTTGAGAAAATAGCATTTAGTGTGTTGAAGTTCTTCCGCAACAAACAAGGAGATTTAAACCCGGCATTTTCTTGTGTACTT